CTCTAAAATGGACAGGAAGCCAGTGGAGTGAAGCCAGAATAGGTGTGATGTGTTCATGCTTGCGTGTTCAAAGTATACAACTAAATTAACCTAAACTCACAGCAGTTAATTAATTATTTTTGCATAATCTATAAAGCAGGGGCTTAAAAAAGGAAATTAATTTAGGTTGCATTCTATGGGTGATCAACAGGTGATAACCAAAAGCATCAAAATAAATATTCTTAGTTTTACGTTGAATTATTTATTTCATTGATTCTTGTGTGGGTGATGATTATGTAACAAGATGGGCTACATTTGGTGTTTGTGTATACTTCATCCTAGTGGACTCTGCACTGCAAAAAAATAAATGTAGTGGCCAAGCAGTTGCTGGATAAACACTCTGCTTGTTCATTACAAATAATGAAAATACTCCTTTCTTTGAAGCACTGCTGCCGACAAACCACTTATAGCTACTGTTCAGCTCTGACTGAGCACTATCGCTAAGGATTCAGTCTTGTCAAGGACGAAACCTGCACACTCTCTGTGAACATAAAATAATCAGCAGTGCTTTCAGTCGCTTCCTCAACACTGAAGCGTTCCCTTTTTTTCTCACAACACACCCCTGCCGCTGCAGAGAGCATAGTTTGTCAGGGATTAACCAAACCACAAAGCTCGTATTAACTGTTTTCCCACTGCTCCAGAGATATAGAAAAGAGGAGCTGTACCCTCTAATTTGGGGAAGGCCACAGCTGAATTACAATGTATTCAGGAGATTCACAACAATCAGTTGACTTGGTTAAGTTGATGTATGAGGGGGAAGTACTAACGCTACAGAAGTTGAAGCTCTGGTTGCAGCAATTATTTTTGGAAGAGTTATTTTTAATCTGATGATGATAACCACTGGACAAGCCATGTTTAATTCCATTAATGAGCCATTGCCTTTTGGACATGGATTACACATGTCACTGGCCAAGCTGTTCATCTGGCAGCATACCTGTCATTTCAGTTCATGTCATTCATTTGTATAATCTCGCACAGCTTTATTTTAACACTTCAGAGACACCCTGACAACATCCAGCAAATCTTCAAAAATCGTCTCCATGGGCGTTCTCAAAATATTTTTCACTCTGAGCCATTATGCCCCATAGTAAGACTCATAACAAGGAATTAGACAGTGTTTCAAAACATGTTTCCCTACAGCCCACGGGAAAGCAACGTGGTGTGGTGTAGTGCCCTTGTGACTGTGAGTTGTGCCAAATGCCACAAATGGCATACTGTCATGACGTGTCAGGGTCAGCCATTCTGCTCTCAAACACTGACAAATGCTTTTCAGAGACAGCCCTTTATCCCCAAGTCAACAGACCACAGTGAGATAATGCTTGTTGAGAGATCACTAGTTGGAAAAATGCAGTCTATATGCCTGGCAACACAGCAAATGGATTTCCTCAGAAATTCACCAGCACACATAAGGACATTTTTTTGACGTACATAATCGGTTTAGTATTGAGTGGGCCAAGGCTAAGGGCCACATACTTATTCAGTCCAAGCTTTTTGTAAAGATCTATCCTGTTCTTTACTACTATCATATGGCTGAAAACATAGGATAACAACTAATCACAGAGGAGATAATGTAGAAAATATGGAATATAGGCCATGGTATGTCACACTGTTATCACTGATCCAGGCTTTCATTTTGATAACACTTCAATTGAAAAACACCCAGTAAACCTCATATTTGCACATTATTTTTCAAATGTTGTTTTCCCATTTGAAAGTAGAGCGCTCATCAGTCACCCGGCCATTACAGATCTATTGTTATTTTGCACAATCCAAAACCAAAGGTATCATTAATTAAATCGCTCTGTATTGCTCCTTGGTTTCAATCATTATTTTGGTGATGAATTATTCACACTGCATTCCTTGTCTAAAAAAAGACTCAGGGGACACACCACCGAGACAGAAAAGGAGGAGGGTGAGGATGGAAGGGAAGACAATGATAAAAGTTGTTTGAATCTGTTATTAACTTGTGTCAATGTGGAATAGGAGATGTATTCTGACAGGAAAACTTAACATATTCTGCCTTCTGCAGACTCAGATCAGGTGTCCAAGTGTGCAGTATAAAAGAAAAATTGTTTAAATGAAATCAGATTGGCAGATAATTAACTTAAAGATTACCTCTTAAAGTGATTAATGTGGACCGAAGTGATGAACTAAAGTCATTTAAGAAGAGGATGGGCGAGGTTTAAACTAGTGCCAATTTTGTTTTTTAAACAAATAAAAGGTTACTTATTTCCATACAAAGCTGATGTACTAGGGGAATATAATTGATCTCCCTTTATAAATAACTGTCTGCCTAATGCCTAGTTGCAGTGCAATGGTTTACTTGCTTTGAAATCAGCCTCTGGAAAGGCTGCAATCTCTATAACCCTGAGATTAAACCTCAATCTATTTGAACTATAAACAATAGTTTGTTCAGTGTGTATTCAAAAGGCAACTCAAGTCTTGGCTTTCTTTCAAGCAAAATAAAGGAACTCATTCAACTTGCACACCTAATCCTAAACTTTTCCCACATCGTCGCACTAACTGATTACCGCTTAGCTAAATACCTGCGTGTCAGTTACTGTGAGTGTATGTCATGACTATTGCTTTGTACCACTTTGTTTCTGACATACAGAAAGCTCTTTGCAGCAACAATGCAAGACACCACTTAGGCATGGTGAGACCTTGCATTTATTATTCAGTTAAATGAACATGCTGTTGTTTAGCAACATTATAAAAAAGAAAATTAACTTGCATCTATAGCTGCATGGGTGTGCTTCCCTTCCTTTTGTTTGTTTTTTTCTTATACATCAGCACTTCTCCCCATTTCATCCATCATGTCCTATCAGCAGCCTCTCTCTCTCTCTCTCTCTCTCTCTCCGTCCTCTCTCTCCTCTCCTCTCTCCTCTCTCTCCTCTCTCTCTCTCATCTTCTCTCTCTCCTCTCTCTCTCCTCTCCTCCTCTCTCTCTTCTCTCTCCTCCTCTCTCTTCTCTGCCCTCGTCCCAGGTGAGGATCGACCGAACTGTAAATCTAATTTCCATGATTCTCTGTAGGGCTTTTAGTTTTACAGCCTTACATAGGGCAAAGATAACATGGCTATTTCATAGGGGTGGTCTTTCCCGCTAATATAGCAATCAGAGATAGAAACATTTTATTTCTAGGGAAAGTTTCAGTGTAAAATCTACAAGGACATGCTGAAGAATGTGCTGGCAACGAACTGACATCTGACACATAATCTGATTGGTCCCAGATTACAGTGTAACACAAGCACATATTAAAAGGCTGTGGAAAGTCTCTATAAAAGATATTCATTCTGCCGGCCATGGTTTTATCCCATTCGTATTGACTCACACAAGGAGACACATTGTAAATACATTTTTATTTTATTGAGCGTAAGGGAATTATGTTATGCATCTGTTGGCTGAGCTCTGCAAGGAACACACACACACACACACACACACACACACACACACACACACACACACACACACACACACACACACACACACACACACCACACACACACACACACACACACACACACACACACACACACACACACACACACACACACACATCTATCTGAAATGAAATGGCACTATAAAGACAATGATGATGCCCATTTCCTTGCCCTGTGAAATTGCATCTCAAAAAGCCACTATATGTTGTTACTGAATGTCAAATTCAATTGTCACATCAAACACAATTACATTAGATGTCACTTGTTAGACGCTTTTATCCAAAGCGACTTACATACTCAATACTGTGGACAATCCCCACAGGAGCAATTTGGGGTGAAGTGTCTTGCCCAGGGACACAACGACATGCTGACTGCTGGGGGACTCGAACTTGCTATCCACTGATTCGAAGTCCAGCACACTACCCACTGAGCCACAGCCTCCCATTAGCACTCTTGTTGTGGCATGAAGTAGAGTGACATTATATAAAAGTAAAATCTGAGAGTGCATGTGTTTGTTTGAGCAATTTGGCCAGTGAAGTGGAAACAAAGAAGGGCATTCACTATTTATTAGGGCACTTCAGGTGCCAACAATGCTTCATTCCTAGACTGAACTGGACTGTCATCTGACCTTCCATGCCTGCACCAGATGTTAAGATCTATGTTTAAGTGTTTTATTTTATTCATTTATTTCCGAGTGTACACACATCATTTTTAATCTGTAAAGTGTATGTATAACCCGGTATAACCCCATCCCCCCTTGATAGATGACATGTAATATGAGAACAGGACAGAAGTGGCATTAAAATGCAGAAACAACTTTGGGTGGATACTTTAACAGGATCATTTTACATCAAAATGCAGCAACGACACAACATCTCTCTGACCAAATCCAAACAATAATATGACCATGTAAGTTTGACAATGTTGCTATTCATGACTGCTGCATAGAATTCCATTTTACAGGTATGTCTTTCAGCACCTTTGTGGCACTTGTTGGATTGCACTATTGATGGTTTTGGATGCAGTTTGCAAAAAACAAGAATAAAAACCTTTATGGGCAGACAATAATCCATCAAGGCTTCTCTAATTTCAACCCACCTCTTATTATACCAGTATATAAAATGTATTCACATTTAGCATATTAAAGCACAACACAGGATTTCCCTTCTCTGAAAAAAAAATCGATTCGGATGTCTTACCTCAGTCCCACTTCCCCTGTTGCTGCTGCTCATCACGCCGTGCGTGCGGTATATGCTACTGCACCTCAGCTGCACCTCTGACAAATTGAGCTGCAAAGCAAAGTGTAGGGGAAGTGCAAGCATTGTCTGTTGGATGAACAGCATAATCACAGAGGGGTTTTTTTTAATAGTATTTGCCCACTACAAAATTAGATCCCTATACAAATATTGTACAGCAGGCTTTTGAGCTCTGAGTGAGAGGCAGAGACACGTGATTGGATGAGTTGGTGAAGGGCGTGAGAGAAATTAAATACGTACACAGACGATAACAGGCTTTTAGAAAGAATAATCATTTATCCGCTTTGTCAATCACTTGAATTGATTCTAGACCGCCTTTAAATAAGTATTTGTATGTGATCTATGTGTCACTCTGAACAGATGAGTGGGGTCTAATGTGGTGTCCCAGCGTGCTGTGTGATTGGACGGTCCCTCCAGTCGTTACCAGGGGCGTGGAGCCCAGCGAGCAGCTGAATGGGAAACACATTTGTGAGCCTTACCGTTGTATTAACCTAATGGGTAGCAAGCGAAAAACTGTTGTCCGCTTAAATTAATTACCAACGGGAGGTAGTCACACAGAAATCTCCCGTGTCTTAAAGCGGCCCTACTGGTGTTTAACTACTCGCTCCGCATACAGCAGGCACCATGGAGAGGCATCGTGAGCTGCTGTAGCTGCACCCGAGGAAAAGGATGCGAGGATTTAAAAGGACATAAATACAACATATTCGTCTTTTTTCATCGTCAATATGGGGTTTTTGATCACTTAGCAAAGATTTAACTGGACCCGGATTTGTTTGCTGCCCTTGGGGTTGCCTGTGTACGTGAAAACGTGGACACTATGCAGATAGGGCGTTTTAAAGTGCACCTTTGAAACGCAATGGACAATCTGCTAACGTTAGCGGGGCTTTTCTAACATCTGACAGGTCCGTATGTGTCGTGGAAAGCTAACGAGAGTGTAGCCGAGGTTGTTTGGTCGCTTTTTAAACCTAGGTAAGTCGTGTCCCATCTTTGTTCAGTGTCATTTAATGTTGTAACTAACCGTTGTTACCTGAGATATTACGGTATATTAACAACAGACGTTAGTTCTGAATCAACTTAACGTTAACTTGTGACGTCAGAGACAGTTAGCTTATCGTTTCCCTCGCCGTTAATGGCTTCTGCTAAAATACATGTTTTAAACTCGTGGGCTGGTCTCTTTTTTTATCCACCTGCTTATTTGACGTCAACAAACTTAAACTCCGTAATGTCTGACATCCATAAACCCAATGTATATCTTTAGTTTTCCCCTAAACACCAGGACATGTTTGATTTTGTTTCAAGTTCTGCTACACGTTTATTTTGCAGATCTTCATATCGGATGCAATCTCGTCTATCATCCATCCCACTGTCGTTAGGGGCCTCGGCTGGCAAACTGCGTCACCGAGTGGGCGCTGCAGGTATTCATATCTAGCTCTGCACTTTAGGAAGTCTAGCCATGGCACGAATGAACTGGAAACCAAAGTGACTGAACTTTTGAAATCACCATGGAGCCTAATTCATACTCAGAGGTCCACCAAGAATTACAATACCCCTCTGTATCCAACTCTCAGCGTAAACTGGCCCCAAATATGTATGAGACCATGGGTGATGGCAATGTCAACCATGTGGACTCAGTAGGGAGGGGGGTGAGTGACCCCAGTGCGTCCAGTTATCAGAGGAATGTGCATCAGAGATTTATTAGGAGGAGTCTGTGGTTCTCGGATGCAGACGAGCAGACCTTTGAAGCACCTGAATGTGATAACAGGAATAAGATCCTAAACATAAACCTGCGGACAATAGTGGACAGGACGCGGGGGACCAGTGGGATACAGGAAGGTTCCAGCACTGAAAGTCAAGGTGGGCATAAAGACAGTGCAACCGAAAGTGCCAGTGCGGATGAGGAGAAGGAGAAAGGTGGAGATTCCTTAAATCCCACATGCAATGGTGGTGGTGGTGGTGGTGGTGGTAAAGCTGCTATCAAGGCATCCAGTGAGGAGAACGAAGAGGAGGCCGAGATGAAAGCAGTCTCCACATCTCCAGGAGGAAGATTCCTGAAGTTTGACATAGAGCTGGGGAGAGGGTCCTTCAAGACGGTCTACAAGGGCCTGGATACTGAGACCTGGGTGGAAGTTGCCTGGTGTGAGCTGCAGGTAAAGTACTAAATATAACATGTCTGTGACACCCAATCATATACTCAGTTTAAGTAAAGGCTAGAAAAAGCATATACATGAGCCACATATAACATCCTTTTTTAATGGTTTATTTTTGCATTTGGGCATGGGAGACAATTATAGCAGAAACTGTCTTCACATTCTTATACTCTACAAGCAATGCACAATTTGTTTCTCAATTGGCAATCAATATTAGTGATGAATGCCTGACTACCGCAGGAAGCCCCCTCTCTTTGCTCTTCTCTCTGTCGGTGAAGGTTCACACATGATGTTAGCATAATGGTGATTTCTTCAGGGAGCTGTCAAGCAGCCTCGTGAGGGATCCTGCTAAGATGCAAAGGGATAACCACTAAAGTTGAAATGGTTTACACAGGGAAAGTGATTGACAAGCATTAGCTGCTGAGGTGGGGACGCATACCACCGCTGAAGTTGAGTGATCAGCAGTTTAGCAAATGCACAAGGCGTGTCTCTCTACCTTGTCTTATGTTACACAGACACAAGAAAATCACCAGCTTAGTCTAGCAAAAGCTATTAACTAATTATCTCCCGTTCTTTGGAGACTGCAGTGGAGATTTCCTACCTCTCTCTCCCAGGAGGCTTAAGGGGGATGACTGGCCCCCTTAAAGAAAGAAAACGTCTTCTTTAATTAGTTCTTTCACCGTTCCGATTAAAATAGTTAAGGATTCATTTCCAACCGTTCAACCCATCCTTCATTTTTATTCTAGTGATTTGCTCAGCTGTAAGAGCACTGGTGAAGTTATTGAAGTGGACAGGGCTGGACAATGGTTGTGTCTTCCTCCGTGCTTTTCTCTGCCTCCCCCTGTGCAACAGGAGTTAGGCAGACAGGAAGCAGCTAGAGTGCGCTGTAGCATGCTGTGAACAGTGTGGCGGTCCTGTGGCCTCAGTGAATACTAATTCCTATGGTTCTGAAAACATCTGGGACTTAAGAATGCATTGAAATAACTTAAACTGGTTTTGTAAGGCAGTGACACACCTCATCCCTGGTGAGAACTTTGAAGATAACATTGGCTAGGAATGAGTAAAGATACAGCAGTGCTGACTCTGACAGACATGATGACTTCATGTGGGTGATGTCATGCAGACTGATTGTAGCAGTGAGCAATCCCAGATCTCCCTCAACTTGATAACACTGAGCTGCAAGCGGATGATAGGAATGGAAGCAGGAAGCAATTTACTATATTTTTTATTCTCCCCTAGTGTCACACTAAAACTCCTTCTAGCAGACACTCAATAATAGATTTTAATCACAACAGAAATGTTCCTTTGTCTCAATCAGGGTTCTCAGTAGCTGTTTCATATGTTGTAGCTTTAAGCCCACAGTCTTCCATTAAAACGGTTTGATAAGCAAAACCCTGCGCTGACCTGATCAATCTGCGTCAAAGTGCTCTCTGGTTCTTTAGCTTACTGAGCGGATCAGAACCATTAGTTGAGACTTTGTGTGACTGGGTCACCAAGGTCACGTGGTTCCTTCCCGAGTTGATCAGAACTCCTTGTGATCTCACGTCAATTAATCCCACCTTTTATAAAACTAACAATGAATCTACTAGAGTGGTGCTGAAAAAGGTCAGACTACTAAAGTGTGGCAGATCTGTGAACGTGAAACTTGTTAATATGTGTACATTGTAGTCCTTTATCTAAGATATTTTCTTTATTGGGTATTGAGATATGTTATCTATTACAGCTGCAACCATTTGTTGTTTAACAAAACATCTAGTAACGGAAAAAGAATTAGCAAGTATTTTGATAATTTAACATGCTGCTAAAATAATTGATAATACAAATTAAAGTAAGACCTACTTCAGAATCCTTCTAAGACCACAAATATTCACATTTTGAAAATCAAGAAATAGAGATTTCATTAAAATGACACAAATCAAGTTTTATTTATATAGCACATTTTTTAAACGATTTTTTTTAAAAGTGCTGGACATGCAATAAAAACACTTTACTACAATAGCAAACAGAAGACAACAAATGACAACAGCAAAAATATCACATACAGGGAAATGTCAGGAGTTGTGCTCAATGATTATCAAATTGACAGAAGATTAGTCAACTTATCATTTTAGCTTTAGTCATTATGGATATTTCAATGCATATTTAAGCTGCTGTTGTTCACAAAGCCACAATCACATTTTAAGTTAAGCCTTTTTGGACAAAGTTGCCTTATTGTAAGATGGTGAGCACCAAACGTATCCTTTATCTGAGTAGGTGTACTAAGCTCGGCCAGCGGATTCGTTGTTAGCGAGTGATTAAATGCTTTATTGACTTTCTTAAAGATACATGTTATAGCGTTGGTGGGACCTAACAGCATGCTTTATATTGTTTTGAGTCACTTAAGAGTCACTTTAAAGCCTGATGGTCCAATTCAAAACTCACGCTGACCACAATAACAACAGATCTTCTCTGTCATGTTCAACAGCACGGTGCAAGGCAGAACAGGTATCAACTAGTCTTAGGAGGACTGCACCCAAAGGACTTAAAGTAAAGATTGTATGCCTGTGTTGGGATTGTTTACTCTTCAGTGTTGCATGCAGATAATGCCAGCTTTACCTAGCTCAGTGAACTGTGGTAGAAGACAGAGGAGCTCTGTGGAAGATGTGGAGCAGGAGATATGACTCTGTGATTTTCCACAGTGTTTCCTCCTTCCAGTGGTCACATGGCTTTCTTGCCTAGAAATGTTAATCTGGTTCTATGTTTATTCGTTCTGTCTCTTTCCTTCTCTCTCCAACCCCCCCCCTGCCCCTTTCCTCCCTCTCCCAGCTCCCCCACATTTATGTTTCTGTGCCAGACTGCCGGCATAACACAGATGGTCCTAGCTCAGGCAAGGATGTTCATCTGAGAGAAAGACTCCTGTTGTGAGTTTCTCATTGTTGTGAAGAAGCACTTCTTGTGTTTCTGTTTGCCTTGTCTCATGTTATCATTGCGCACTGGAATTTATTTTTTAAACCTTGGAAACTTCCCCTTTCGGCCAATTGTGGCTCTGTGTATAGATTTGTATCTCTGTGTTGAATGTTGTGCGCACACTCGCAGAAATATTTGACTTCTTGCAGACCTCTCTGTGGCATTTGGCATTGAGCCTTTCTCTTGTAGATTATATCTGGCTGTCAGTGTGTGAATCCAGAGCTGGCTGTGACACTATAGCAGTGATATAAAGCTGCCTGTCTCTCAGTGTTTACTGAGACCTAGCAAGTGACACCATGACCCACTGCCAATGCCTTGGTTCCCAACACTGGATTCTGCTGTCGTTGTAGATTAGAGTGAGTCATGTTATATGGATGGTTATGTGTTCCTAATCATAGTTTATGGCTGTCTCTTTGCATATTATGCATGCGATAACAAAAACTCCTTCTTGCCTGATCAAATGGCAAAAGTAAAACAAAGTTGCCGAACTTGCTGAAGTGGGTCATTGGTTACAGCTCATTTGGCATTGGGGCATAAAAGGAATGAGGCCTACAGTAAGGAAGCAAAGACAGAGAGACCCAGCAGCTGTTGCTAACAGCGTCTTATCAGGCATGCTGGAGCTCCCTGTCACTCAGCCAGCTGAAGAGGGAAGCCGGTTAGAGCCACAGCATTGTGGCCTGTGGTAGAACTCCAACAGGCCCTGTTGGAATGATGCTGGTGAGTAGTTAATGTAATCTAATTAAAGACAACAAAAACAGTTTTAAAAAGCTAACTGTACCATGTACGTTTTGCTTTGTGTTTTGAGAAGTAAGAGTATATAGCAATGAAGGTGTGAGTAATTCGACCTCCTCCCTACATAAAGTAAGTCAACAATAAGAATATAGTTTAGAGTTGTCTTTATTTTGTTCCAAATTGGCTTACGTTTGATCAGAATAGGGTGCGTTGTTATCCCTGTGAACACACACGTACGACAGTAGTTAGTGTTTTTGAGAATTGGAGTGTTTTCATTTGGGGAAAGCTCTTCTCAGCTCTACAAAGAAGAACCCAATGGGAAGAGCTGGACTTGTCAATCAAGTCCCAGTCGTATGTTTCACTCATTTTGGATGAGATCATCTGCACATCTTATGTTCCTTCCCTCAGTGCAACTTGGCTGCGTTTGGTCATGCGTTTCCATGATTGAGACTTTTTCTCAATTACCTCAATATATTACGATTATTTTCCTGACTGAATAACTTGGACAACATGTTTGAGCGATGAATTGAGTCCTTGTGTTGCGGGTATATAACTGTCGGACCGAATTCAAACAACACGTTTTGTTGTTTTTAACAACAACTGGCTGACAAAAAAGTAGCAGATTACATTTCTGTCAATTGACTAATTGTTTTCCGTTCTGCATGACCTTGTTTGTCAAGTAATGCTCCAACAATCCAATGTCTTGTATCCCTGTGTGAACTGCTGAGTCATCCTATAGTAGTAGTCTTTATTGATCACAGCAGATTCAGTGAGCAACCTTCAGAGACACATCACCCCTCCAGATCTAACTCTGATTTGATGAAGATTCAACTATTTGACGGCTTTGAAACTCCCTCTGTGCCAACATACAAGCCAGTCACAAAGCTTATTAGGACGTGTAATCCTTTTTGGAATTAAGAAAGGTTATTTGTATGAATGAATTGTGGAGCACCTCTGTATCCTGTTAAGGCCTCCAGCTCACTGTAGGCTCTGTGGTCTGAAGACAAGGGCAGCTGTTAACACACACTTTAGTTGAACTCTGCATCACTTACGTAATAATAAGCAAAAGACACATGGCCACACAGTAGCACATGTGTCTTGAATTGAACTGTAAGTTCTTACTGTAAGCAAATGTAAATCCTCTTATGTTCAAGGACTGTTGGATATATAAATAGAGCTTTTGCTAATCACTTTTAAATGATGAGGTTTGTGTGCCTGTGGTTATACATTTGTACGTTTCAGGTATGCATGTAGGGGGGACACAGTGTGTACGTTTCAGGTATGCATGTAGGGCAGGGGTGCCCAACCAGTCGATCGCGATC